GAGCAGCTGAGGACTCTAGACTCATGGAAAGAGAGGGACTGAGAGCTGGCGGCCAGGAGGTAGCCTTGCAGAATATGCCCTTTGGTTGCTTAAATTATTACCTATTCCTATTTCTGTGTACATCCCCACCCCCCACCCCACCCCACCCCCAAAAAAACAGGGAATGGAAGCAAATACGGTAGAATGATGATGCACAGAGGAGACTGTAATCATTGCAATGAAACCATGGTGTAAAGTCGATGTTCTCCCATGTAAACTATCACTGAGTTCACAATTAAAAACTAAAAAAAAAAAAATCATCACGTAGACGAATGATTAAAAAGTAGATATATTCTGTTTAGAACCACTTGGTTCACTTTTCATGAACTCCCTGACCAAGGATATAGAAGCGAGATTCGTAAGACATATTATCAGGAGGGACCAGTCCCTGAAGAAGGCCACCATGCTTGTTAAAGAGGAGGGTCAGAGAAAAAGAGCAGGCCCCAATGAGATGGACTGAGAGAGGCAGCAGCAATGAACCCAAGTGTAGCCAGGATGTCAGGGTGGTGAAGGACAGGCAGAGTTTCAGTCTGTTGTCACTGACGCTCTGGCATCTAATAACGACAACAACAGATATGTATACATCATATTCGCTAATTAAAAAAGAAGATACATTTTATTTTAGAGTGTGGCGCTATGGGCTAATGCGTCAAGCTCCAAAGTCATTTGAACTGCAAGGTTGGTGGTTCAAGCTCACCAGCTGCTCCTTGGAAACCTACAGGGTCATTATGGGTCTGAATCAACTCAACAGCACTTAACAACAACAAAGTAAAATATAAGGAGCTCTGATAGCATTGTTGGTGGTGGTGTTAGGTGCCATCAAATCGGTACCCACTCATAGAGAGACCTTATGCACAGCACAACGACACTGCCCGATCCTGGGCCAACCTCATAATTGTTGCAACGCTTGAGCCCATTGATGCTGCCACTTTGCCAATCCATCTCGCTGACTGTCTTCCTTTTTTTCTCTAACCCTCCACCTTACCAAACATAATAACCTTCTCCAGTGACTGGTCTCCCTCCTGACAATATGCCTGAAGTATGAGAGATGAAGTTTGGCCATCCTGGCCTCCAAGGAGCACTCTGGCTACACTTCTTCCAACACAGATCTGTTGGTTCTTGTGGTTACAAATTGGGCTGCTAACTTCAAGGTCAGCAGTTCGAAACTACCAGCGGTTCCGCAGGAGAAAGATGGGGCATTCTGCTCCCGGAAACATTTATAGCCTCGGAAACCCTATGCAGGGTCTCTATGAGTTAGAACCGACTGCAAGGCACATCACCATCAACACCACCAAAGTAAAATATGTTGAAGCAAGCACAGTACTTAAATAAGTATCCTTGGTGTTGTTGGGAACCAACTGAGCGACCGTGTGCACAACAGAAGGGAGCTCACGACATGACAACGTTCTGGAGAGCAGTGATTAGCAGAGACTATACAATTGTGCGCAGGGCTCATGATGTGACAACGTTCTGGAGAGTGGTGATGAGCAGAGACTACACAACCCAGAGCTGCTGAAGGGGTGGGGGCTTACATCTTCAGACCCTAGAGGAGAATCCAAACAAAGGCCCAGCTCCTGTCCCTGAGACACCACGCTGCAGCCGACAGCAACTGCTGTGGGGATGTGGACTTGGCTTGTAATTACATCCCAACCTGGTCGTGTGCCCTCAGCTGCCCTCACTGGGCAGCAGCTACAAGATTGCAAATACCACTGCGAAGATGTGATAGTGGCCACGCACTCACCTAGTGACTCTCCAGCCTCCCTGCTTGAGTGTGGACTCCAAAAAGACCAAGGAGTGTCTCCTTCCCTGGCATGATACCTGGCACACGGCTGGCATTCAGCAGCCTCTCTACCTACTTCTGAGTTCTATGTAATCGAGAGGAAGACTTTGACCGAGATGGAGTTTAGCAAGAGCAAACCTAGTCATTCTCAAATGAATAGCTCTGGTTTATACACCATTCTTCAAGATTGTCTTTATGCTGGGAGGGGACTCACGTCTTTAAAACCCATTAGGATGTATTTCTCTTAGATCACAGACTATATTACCAATTGTTGCTGTTCTGATCTCAGTTCATGAGTTGCCAGAGTGGAATTCTGCTCCACAGAGTTTTCAACGGCTTTGCCAGGCCTTTCTATCGAGGCACCTCTGGATGGACTTGAACCCCCAACCTTTTGGTTAGCAGCTGGGTGCATTAACCATTTGCTCTATGCGGGGGACTCATGAGATGGGTCGGGGGGGGCGTTTCAAAAAGTTCACAGAAAAATTCCATTATCTTTTCAAATCATTTTTCCAAGAACTTTTTTAAACCTCCTTGTATTCATTCCTGAGATGTAAAGTTGGGAGGCTAAGAAATTCCAAAATGTCTTTCTCTTTATTTTTCCAAGTAAAAACTTTCAAGCATAAAAACGTTATTGGTAAATAATATCTTTGCAGATATTCCCAGTCACTGAAAACCCTGGGTAACACAGTTCTACTCTGACACACTTGGGTTCTGTTTGAACCTTACCCCATTCCTATGGCTGGATTTTATTTACTACTAAGTTCGGTGGTCTTAAGGGTTCATCAGCACTTACTGATCAACTTTAAAGGCTAATTTTCTGCTAGTTACTGAGGGCCAGCTGGAACCTCGCCATGATTTAAAAAATAAAAAATAAATTTTTTTTTTAAAGAAAGACTGTATGAAGAAACCTGATCAAAAGGAAGAAAATGTAGAACAGAATAATTTCAAATTCTAAAATTCAGACTTTCTGGAGCCATGGAGACTAGAATGAACCCACCCCTGAAAATATTACCCTGAGATCATCTTTAAACCTTAAACCAAAAATATCCCCTGAAATCTTAAACCAAACAATAGTTAGCGTAGTAAAGTATGTCTTCCTTGAGCATTGTGCTCTTTTAAAGAAC